GTACTTAATGTTTCTTATTAAAGCGATTAGTACAAAAAAGGCCATGACTGATGGTTTTATTACTTCTGGTCCTGAAAAGCTCTCTGTACAGGAGATGTTTAAGCAGTATATCTTTCTGAAATGAGGGGTGATGAAACATACATATAATTGCTTAGAATCTTATATCTGTACTAATTACGTTTTTGGAGTTATTTTAAATAATTGCTTTTAAAAAGTGGGCTTTGATTAGCTTGTGGCACGACTGCGTGAGAAGGTCAACAAATCTCCCCACAAGCAACAACAAAGCTGGACAAATGGTCAAAAACAAGCCATTCTCGCATTCTGGAAATTGACTAAAAGCAGTCAGCAAACTGAGAAGTGTTTATTTGTGCAAACAACTGAGCTTTGGGTAAGAACAGTATGAGTCTGTGGTGTTTGTGCCTGGTGCTACTGCCGTTTTTCTTCCTCAGCTCTGTGGGCAAGGTTGTTCAACCAGGGCAGGGCAGGCTGTAAAAACCAGCAGCTTCACTGCTGCTCCCAAGAAGGCTCAGTTGACTTGGAGGACTGTTTGGGAAAGTGAAGATGTTTATGGCACGTGACGGGGGGCGGGGGGGCAGGGGATGGGGTGTCTCTGGCTCTACACACCTGAAGTTGTAGGCCTGTTTGGCAGAAGTGGTAGACAGACAGACTAGCCACAGATTTAGCAGAGACTTCTGGGAGGTGAGACAGAGAGAGGATGCTTGATAAGTCTTCGCAAACTGTAAACTGATTGGACGTTGTGCACATGCACAACAGGGACCAGAGTGGGCCCAAGCTGCCTACACTTATCTGTTGGCTGGAGCTTGTATGCACATCACGAGAAGGTGGGAGAGGACCCAAGAAAGCCCAGGAGAAAGTAAAAGATGGGGCGGACTTGAAAATGGCCCTAAGTTTGAACGCTCTCGTCTCATACACAGATGAGTCAACACATAGTTAGGAATCTTACTGGTTTAAGGTGTTTGAGCATATGTGTGACCAGTCCTTGACTTAGCTTTGCTATGCAGATACAGAATTGACTGCTGGGAAGTTACGCTTTGTGGGGAAGAAAGCCAAAAAAGCTAAGAAAGGAGATTAATGACCATTCATTGTGGAGACATAAACTTCATAGACTACACTTTGGGTGATTAATATGAATTGAGAGTTGCTACAATATATTACCTAAAATTTCTAGTATTTAACAAAATATTATGATACATACAAAGAAACCAAGTATAACCACATTCAAGCGGGAAAAAAGCAGTCAGTATCGATTGTCATTGAGTGGCCAGAAATGTTGGATTTAGCAGACAAAGACTTAAAAGAACTAAGTGAAACGATGTTAAAAGCATTTAAGAAAAGGATGATGACAGTGACTTGAATACAGAATCACAAAATGATGGAAATTATAAAAGAGAACCAATAGGAAATCTGGAGTTGAAAAGTACAGTAGCTGAAATGAAAACATTCATTAGTGGGGCTCAACTGTAGATTTGAGATGGCAGAAGAAAAAAATCTGTGGATAGACCAAGAGAAATGATGTGATTTGGATAGAAGAAAAGAGGAAAAATGAAAAGGGCCTCAGAGACCATTGGGACAACACCTGGCACACCAAAAAATGTGTCATGGGAATCACAAAAGAAAAGGATACAGTAAAAAACAGCAACAGCAACAACAGTAGTTTTAAACCGTACTGGATGAAAACTTCCCAAATTTTATGAAAACCATTACTTTCGGATCCAGAAAGCTAAATGAATTCCATGTAGAGAAGTCCCAGATATCCATACCTGTACACATCGTAGTCATTGTAGAAAGAGAGGGAAAATCTTGACAGTATAAGAGAGAAATGACATACTGTGTACCGGAGAACAACAAGATTAATAGTCGACTTCTCACCAGAAGCACTAGAGGTCAAAGACAGTGGATTGATATATTCAGTGCTCAGAGAACAAAACTGTCAACAAAGAATTCTATTGATATATCCAGCAAAAGTATCCTTCACAAATGAAGCAAAATAAAGACATTTCCAAATAAAAAATTTGTTGCTAGCAGACTTGATTTACAAGAAATACTGAAGACAATTTTTCAGGCAGAAAGTGGTACCAAATGGAAATCCCCAGGAGGAAATGAAGAGTGCTAGAAGTGGTAATTATGTGGGTAAGTATATAGTACTTTATATATACATATTTTTCACATTTTTCTTTAAAAAACATACAGTTGTGTAAAACAACAATTGTAGCACTATATTTTAGGGTTTATACAACTATATATGTTAATATGTGTGATGGCAGTGGCACAAAGGAGGAAGAAGGAAAAGAAGTGATTCTGGGACGATTGAATATCCATGTGCAAAAATAAACTTAGACCTTTATTATACACAAAAAGTAACACAGTGTATCCCAGACCTAATTATAAGAGTGAAAACGATAAAACTTGTGGAAGAAAATGTAGGAGAAATCTTTGTGCTCTTGGGCTAGGCAAAGAGTTCTTAGATATGACACCCAAAGCATGAGCTGTAAAATAAAATATAGATAAGTTGAACTTCATTATATTAAAAAAACTTTTTCAAAAGATGCCATTATGAAAGTGAAACTATAAGCCACAGACTGAGAGAAAATATTTAAAAATCATATATCTCATAAAGGTCATATAAACAGAATATGTAAAGAATTCTTATAATTCAATAATAAGACAAATGCTATAACTAAAATATTGACAAAATACTGGAGTAGACATTTATATTAGTGAGGGTTCTCCAGGGAAAGAGAACCAGTAGGGGTGTGTGTGTGTGTGTGTGTGTGTGTGTGTGTGTGTGTAATGAGATGTATTATAAGGTATTGGCTCCCACCATTAAGGAGGCTGAAAATTCCCAATGTCTGTAGTCGGCAAGGTGAAGACTGTAGAGAGCTGATGTGTAGTTCCAGTACAGGTCCAAAGGTCTGAGAATCAGGAGAGTTGATGGTGTAAGTTACAGCTGGCAACTGGGCAGGTTGCGAGACCCAAGTAGAGCTGATATTTCAGTCTTGAGTCTGAAGGCTGTAAAAGACCAGTTACTCAGCCCAGAGTCAGACAGGAGGAGTTGGTTCCCTTTTACGCAGCATTTTTGTTCTATTCAGGTCTTTGATTAATTGGATAATGCCCACCAGTGTTAGGGAGAGCAGTGTGCTTTACTCAGTCTGCTGATTCAAATGTCAGTCTCATCCAGAAACACCCTCACAGACACACCCAAAATAATGTTTGGCTAAACGTCTGGCCACCCTGTGGCCCAGGCAAGTTGACGCGTAAAAATTAACCATGACAACATTTTACCAAATGGGAATACAATTGGCTAATCACACGAAAAGGTGCTCAATATCGTTAGTCATTATGGAATGCATATTATTCATTCAAAGCACAATAATACACCACTGCATGCCCACTAGAATAGCTGTTGTCAGAAGTTACTATATGAGTGAGGTCTTGGTGATGTGGAGAAACTCAAACCCTCATACATTGCTGGTGGGATATAAAATGGTAGCACTTCTTTGGAAAAGTTATTTCTTATAAAAGTGAATATAAATTTATGACATAACCCACAATTCTTTTCCTAGGAATCTATCTAAGAGAGGTGAACACATATGTCTGCATGAAGATCTGTATTCAGATATTCATAGAAGCATTATTATAAAAGGTGTTAATTGGGAACAGTCCAAATGTTCATCAGCTGGTTGATAGATTAGCAAAATGTAATATATTTGGTATGGGAGCATGGATAGACTATAAATAAGCTTGAGACAGTTTTGGGGGTAATGGAAATGTTCTAAAAATGGGTTGTGATGATTGTACAACTGTATAAGTTTATTTAAAATAATTGAATTGTATACTTACAATGGGTGAGTTTTACAGGATGTACTTCAGTAAAGTTATAAAAAATAATATGTATATATAGAGAGAAAATGATAAATATGGAAAATAATAATTGGTGAATATCAAGGAGATGGGAATTCTGTTCTTCTAACTTTTCTGTAACTACAATTAATTCAACATTTTAATGGGTCTTAAAAGTGTTCTGAGTCTTTTGTAATGTTTTAAAAAAATAAGTTTAAAAGCTTTTGTTTGTTCTTAAAAATCCAACCCTAGAATGTCTTTTTTTTTTTTTTTTTTTTTGCAGTACGCGGGCCTCTCACTGTTGTGGCCTCCCCTGTTGCGGAGCACAGGCTCTGGACATGCAGGCTCAGCGGCCATGGCTTACGGGCCCAGCCGCTCCGCGGCATGTGGGATCTTCCCAGACCGGGGCACGAACCCGTGTCCCCTGCATTGGCAGGCGGACTCTCAACCACTGCGCCACCAGGGAAGCCCCCCTAGAGTGTCATTTTATCTCAGCTTTTTAATTCTTTACTTCTTTGATTTACAGTTTGCTTTGAGCAGATGATCTGCTTTTGCGCTTGGCCTGCAGGGCCAGTGCCCAATTGAACTCTTCCTGCTTCATATATTTACATATCTGGTCTGTGTTAGGGGCCATTCGTGCCTGTGGAATGCCACTCTGAGGATATTTCTATTTCTCTCATCTGTGCAGTATGAATGTGCAAATATTCTAAGCAAAGCACTTTTTTTTTTTTTTTTTTTTTTTTTTTTGCGGTATGCGGACCTCTCACTGTTGTGGCCTCTCCCGTTGCGGAGCGCAGGCTCAGCGGCCATGGCTCACGGGCCCAGCCGCTCCGCGGCCTGTGGGATCTTCCCGGACTGGGGCACAAACCCGTGTCCCCTACATCGGCAGGCGGACTCTCAGCCAGTGCGCCACCAGGGAAGCCCTAAGCAAAGCACTTTTGACTATAGGACTTGAACACCACTGCTTTTCCCTTTGGTAGTATTTCTTAGGTTCAGTGATCATATCTTCTCCAGGTTGTTTTTATTTGTTTTCATAAAAGAAAAAGTTAAATGCAAATATTAACACATTTGTTGAAAACAGTAAATTAAAGTGAAGTTGTATGACTCATGCTAACATGTTTTCTATGCTTTATTTGAAGGTCACTCTGTGAGACTGCTGGGTCAGAAAAAGGATAAAGGAAAACGGTTGGGGGGAGCACGACTGGATTTGCCAAAGATTAGGAAGAATCCACTGATAGAAATCATTTCCATCAACACTGGGTAAGTTTTTCTCTAACTCATAAAATATTCAATATACTCCATGAATTTTCCTGGCTATATGACATAGAAAAGTAGTGAACATTTCCTTGGGAAAGAAAAATCAAAAATGAATGTTAAAAAAAATCAGACATGAATATCGTCCCCTCTAAGATGTTCCCTGTATGCAGTTGCACTTATATATGCAGCAAGTGTTTTTTTCTTTGATTAACATTACTCTAACTACTTTTTGGTAATAAATGTGGATTTTGTTTTCCAGCTCTGCCCTTGGTTAAAATCTTTTTAAGAAGAGTATTTCTTTTTTTTTTTCTTTTTTTTGTGGTATGTGGACCTCTCACTGTTGTGGCCTCTCCCATTGCGGAGCACAGGCTCCGGACGTGCAGGCTCAGCGGCCATGGCTCACGGGCCCAGCCGCTCTGCGGCACGTGGGATCCTCCCGGACCGGGGCACGAACCCATGTCCCCTGCATCGGCAGGCGGACTCTCAACCACTGCGCCACCAGGGAAGCCCAAGAAGAGTATTTCATTCTGTGAAATGGTTACTACACCCATCATCTTTTACTATTTTTTTAATAGCATTATAGCAAATATTGCCCAAGATCCTAACCATATTTTGATTATTAACTATATGAAATGAATATTTTTAAATGTTACTTTTTTGAGCCTTAAACTGAAGATGAACATCGTGACTGAATATCAAGTACTCTTTAATTGCCATGCTGGTCTGAAGTTCTGCCTGATTATAACTCCTGGTATAATCAGTCATACTTGGTTTTATTTACATTTGTTGAATTTGGTTCTTTTAAATAGTGACTCCATTTGAGAAAGTTACTTATTTCCCACTTTAATCTGTATTATCATAGTCTGTTAATAAATTTAAACCTCATGAAAGTCCCTCCATTCATGCAGCTGCCTCACATTTCCCACAGATTTAAGCCTTCCTGCTCCTTTTAAATTTTAATCTTCCTTCTCTTTTTAAAAATTGTCCTCCTTCTGCCCTTTGCTTTCTTCATGCTCTTTCCCACTGAGAACAGGTGAACTTATCTTTCCTGCTCCAGCATCTTTCTACCTCTCTCCAAGCCAGTGCCGTCCTTTCCTCCTGCACTGTTGCAGCTGTGTTGTCCCTGGTTGTCTTTTCTCTTGCCTTGTCATCCACCTCTGGTTCATCCTCCCCACTGCTGCCAAAGACCGTGGACTGTTGAAGAAGACATTTGGCTTTTTCCTAAAAGCCCTTAGGGACTTTCAGTTGACTTCGTGAATTTGTCCAGGACCAATGTCTGGCCTTCAGTGTGGAAGATTCATAAACCTGGACTCATCAAGCTCAGAGACTACTAGCGACTAAGTGAGAATTTTAACAGTCAGAAGCGTAGCTGTCACATTGACTGGAGAATCTGATAGATTCTCTGGGGCCTGAGCCAAGCTATGGGTGTAAAGGCCGTTTGCTGTTGCCTCTGTGTCTCAGTCACTCTTCTTCCTTCACATGCTGCACTGCTGCTGCTGTTGTTTTTGACTCCTGAATTCAAATTCCTATTAAAATGTCAGCATCCCTACATTTCCTTTCCTCCATGTTTGCCTTATTTTCCTTTGTAACATTTCTCGGTGTTGAAATAGGCGTATGTCCATTTATGTTGTAATTGTCTCCCCTCACTGGCATGTAATAAGGTCCATGAAGGTAGGGAATTGACTTTCTTTTTTGTCATTGTATCCTTAGTACACAGAAGTATGTACACAGTAGGGATTTAGTAAATGTTCACTTATGAATGAATAATTGAGTTCTCTAATTTGGAAGTTGAATGGGATCATGTTAATTTCTTGTTGCAGTACAAATTGCCTTGCTACTTGCACAGTAATACTTGGAGTTGGGCTAAGTGTACTTTCTCCTAAACAATGTCTCTAGAGGGGCAAAGTCTAAATGTTTCTGATAGTCTCATTTTTAAAAAAAAATGCAGGACTGATCAACTCCTTTTTGACTGGCACATTCCTTTAAGTATGTTATTATTTTAGGGCCTGTCAAACCCTTTTGTATTAGAATCTGTTATCTTAGGATCAAGGTGACTTTGTAGCTACTTGTGACCTGCTGAGTGTCGATTTTAACTGTTTGTTTTCAAAGATACTTTATATTTTTAGTCTCCATACTTCTCCATTTTGTCACTCCCCACCTCACACTCCAGTATTCAGTCTCACTGAACTACTTGACATTCTCAGCCTCAAGGTCCTTCTCTCTCTTGACTCCAGGCCTGTCTGTGTGCTGTAAGGATCCCCTGGCGTGTCTTACCATTTCTCCACTTACTTGTGGGTAATCCTGCGTTACGCACTTGTGTGCCCCTTTCTTTGGGTGGCTGCTTGTTCCTCCCCTCCTGACCAGGCTAAATGCCTCCATCTTTCTATTGTGCATCTACAACATTCCCTATTTACCTTGATTATGGCACTTATCAGGATGCATAATTTATATTTTCTACTTAGTTATGAGCTTTGTGAGTTCAGAAAGTATTTCAGTTATCACTATTATTATCTCTGACTTCAGGGTCCAGTACAAAGTGAGTACTCAATAAATGTCGAATTAATGTTGTGTTTTCAAGCCACTACTAATTTATTTTGCCATATATTTTTCAAAGTTTCCCTTAGGTAGCCATTTTAAATAGCATTAAGTTAAAATTTTTCATATATTTATAATTTGAATTTTTCTTCTCTTGGATTTAGTGTTTCTTATAATGAGGCTATAGACTTTTTTTAAAGCTCACTGGGTATTTCCTTTCACTTTCTCATCCTCTCACATCTCTCATATTACAGTATAGAATTGCCTCTTAGTAAATAAATTAGCAAACATTCTTTTGCTGTTAAGAGAATTAATCTGTACTGTCACTCGTTGAGATAAGAGTTTCTGAACTTCTCTGACTACTAATCATTTTCCTGAATCAGTTGGAGCCTTATCACTTGTTCTCAGATGAAAGTCTCTCCATGAGTGTTTGTCGACAGTATCACTCTTACCATCTTTACCTTGAATTTTATTTTTTTACCTCCAGTAGAGCTCATTGCTTTTTTTCATTTACATTTAAATGTTTTAAAAGAGTTCTACGGATAATTATTTCTTTCAGGAGAAAATTATCATCTCCATCAAAATCTTACACTTTTCAAAGTTTTATGGCTTTGAAGTTAAATATGGATATATAAGTTTCATATAAATTTTCTATTCATCAGTTAGGGAAAGGACCCCATTTGCAGCAAGTTTTATTACATGTATTGGTAATTTAGCAAAGTTGCTATTAAACTCTACAGAGTTGTTATGCTTTGTTATGTTTCTAACTTAAAATGTAAAAGGAGTATATTAGTCGCTTTAGCCAAGGAAGAATTTGAAAATTTCATATCATGCTAGATTGTGGATGAGCTGAGACCACTACTTATTTGATCACATTGTGTATAATAAGAGTACCTTTAGTTCTTAAATAACATTTATTTTTTCTTTCCATGCTCTCAATTTTATGTTCAGTTATTCATCCTTCTTATGTTTGCTGTATTGCATATATAAATTTGGTCTACTCGGTTCCTTGTCTCAATTTACAACATTCTTTTTTTTTGAGGTGAGCCTTCTGAGGTTAGCTGCCCCTTGTCCAATATCACTCTTATTTCTAGACTGTCCCTTATGGGGTAAGGACTCCCTGTAGACATGAATAGGCACACGTTTGTCTAGTAGGATGATGAGAGCTGTATGGACATGACTGAAATGCAGGAGAGAATGAAGTTAATCATTGCTAATGTATATTGAGTGCTTAACGTGGGCCAGACAGAATTCTGTGAAATGTGTATTTTTTCCTGTATTTCGTCCTCACAACAGCCTTGTGAGATTTTTCAGTAGATGAGGAAACTAAGTTACAGAGCGGTTAGGTGACTTCACATTGTCGTGCAGCTAGTAGGTGACTGAGACTGAGGCTTATCTATTGCGCCCGTCAGACACTTTTGTGGGTTCACAGGAGCAAGGGATCATATCAAGTGTGGGAACAGAACAATCTTTGCATTATAGTGACATTTGAAATGAAATTTCAGCATCTATAGGCCACCCACATTTCTTGCTTATGGTTCCTATAGCAACTGAGCCAGGAAGGAATGAGAGCCTGGGTGGTAGTTTTGGGAAGGAAAAGCAAGGGTGGCAGTACTGTGTAATGGTTAAGAAGATGGGCTTTGGCATTCTCCAATGGATTTATTTGTAACCATGGATTTGGAAGTTCCAAAGAGTGGTTGGAGATAGAAATACAAGGCTAAAAAGAAGCCTTAGTTGGAGGGGTGAGAGTTGAGGTCAGTGAAGGTGAATGGTCAGTGCCTGTATATAGGAAATAAGAGGAGAGAGAGGAATTATCTATGAAATAAAACTAGTCAGTGGCGAAGGTTTTATGAAAAGAAGTGTCTAACTGTCAATTACTTCTGATCCCTTGAGGAGAAGTAATGCCAGGTTAGGTGAATCATCTTTGAAAGAGCCGGAAATTTGCAAACCACGTTAGAAATTAGTAGGCTTTGCTACAGGAAGACTGCTCTTTGGAGGAGTTCTGCTATAAAGTGAGAGATGTGGTTTTTAGAATAGAAGGATATTTCTATCTGAGCTTGTTTAGAGACAGAGGGGTAAGGATTAGAAGTATATTGACAGGAGAAACTGTTTAAACAGGAACAGTTGTGAACGTAGTTAGAAAGGTGTTGGAGAGAAAGACACCTTCATGCTTCCTCAGACATAAGAGTAAAGGATGTAAGTTTAAGTGTAGAACTTATCAGTTCATTTTTCTTAAAGGTCTTCACTGATTTAATTTAGAGAAAGGTGCTCAGTTCCTCCATGCTGTCAGGCAAAATGGAGGGTGGAGGGTTCAGTGTCCTCTCCCTTTATGTTTTGGTTAATATACTGTGGTCTCTTTTTGATTCCATTGACTTGAGATACAGCCAGTTCTCGATCAGAATCCCCCCTCCTTCCAAGATTTGTCAGTTTTCTTCTTCCCCGATTTCCTCCCTTTGTTGGTGGTGTTC